ATATATATATATATACATTAATTAGATTTAACATATAATTATTTAAAAGTGGAGAAATAAAAACATTTAAATACACTAGAAAATAATTTTTTTGTTTTAAATCAAATAAAATAAACGTTGTAGAAAACATAAGAATCTCACCGGCTCCATTTGGACCAATTATTGCTGTAAACGGCTGAATGGGACCGATTACTGTTTCTCCGCCGAATGACTTAAAGTTGGAAAGGACGATTCTATTTAAAGAAATCGACATTGTTAAAGTAAAATATTTATCAAATACGAATAGATCAAATGAGCAAATGACCGTTGAAAATCTGAAAACTCAGAATTCGAAATAACAGGATTACCAATTTGCACATACCGAAGTATTGAAGTCACATTGTGGGGTAGTGGTGTGCATTCCTGGGTTGCGTTCCAAAATTCAACTCTGTCGACTCGAGTATCATTTTATCTTTGTTGGTCACCGAATGTTGAATAAAGATACTCAGAGTTGATAGAGTTAAGTTTTAGAAATAGTTTTTGGAATGCAGTTTGGAATCCTGAGTGGTGATGTAACTTTTTCCCTTTTCTAGGAATGTGATAGAAAAATTTCTCCATTATTTTCAATGATAAAAATTTTCATATTCTTGGAAAGAAAATTATATTATCTCTAATTTCGACAATGTGAAATTTTCACCCTTTAGGGCCATTCCACACAAACTTACAGAAAATTATTCAATCACATTTCTGTCATAAAGACAAACATAAAATACGATTGGATGATTTTCTTTATATATATGTCTATGCAAGTTGTGTGGAATGGTCCGCAGACTTTTGCATAAAAGAACTAATCAGAATCTTTTCTTTCTTTTTATTTCACAGAATAGAAGAACTTTAATTGATTGATTTTTTATGTGTTATTATGTGTTTCTATGCGTTATGCGTTACGCAAAAGTCTGTGCTGCGCTTTTTTGTCTATTCTGCACACTTAAATTTTAAATTAAACTTCCTGTAAAATCTGAAAATATTCTTACACATAAAAGCTCTAATAATAAGCTTTTATTTTAATTATGAGTTTTATAAAAAGTAGAATTGTATTTTATTTTTTATAGATTTAAACTTATATATCAGAATTCTTAATTAAAAAATTGACCATTTCTACCAATTACAATTAACTTTAATCTCGATTCAACTTGTTCTTTATCTTTTTCTAATTTTAATCAAAAAACTGTGACGTTAAAATCCAACCATTAACGGAGAGTTAACAAAATATTTCAAAATAGTTATACGTTTAAGAAATAAAAATAAAAATATATTTCCAAAAATGAGATCGCGCAACATGAACGATGATAAACAAACAGATATTTAAAATATAATTATCACATTACTTATATATCAAGTAGACTCGCAGAATAGAATGCGTATTGTATGATAAATATATATTGTGTGATAAATTAAAATACACAAAAGCATAATGTTGTAAAATAAAGTACTACTTCATTATTATTACTATTAATATTGTCAAAATACATGTAACAAATTCTTGTTAAAAAAAATACATGTTTTGCTAACACAATAAACCGTTTATTTTAGTACTCGTTTGCAAGTTTTTTATTAAAATCAAGTTATTTACATTGTTCACAACATATCTTATGTCTCACACTCACAATTACAGTCACTCCTTTATTCTGACTTATAACATAGATATACATGACCTGTATACGTAATTTATTAGAAAGTATAATAGCCAGAGTCTTACAATAATTTTAAAATAATAATAAAAAAACTTAAACAAATAGAAATAATAATACATTATTTGTAGTATTTATATATTTTTCTTCTAAGACATAATTGAGAATTATCAATGGCGA